GTCTTATTCGAGTATTGGAGGTTTTTGTCTATATACTCGGCGAGACGTGGGGTCGGAAGGCTAAACCCTAAACCCTAAACCCCATACTCTATCTACTTCGGGGGGGTCCAAACCCCGAAGCCCCACGTACTTACCAGACGCTTCCCAGGTCCTCGAGCTGCTAATTGCCGCCAAGGTACGCCAGTCATGGGACAAGCTAGGATAGGGTTTAGGGTTGACGGTTTAGGGTTTAGCTTCCCTTCAAACGGGAATCAGGGATGTAGGAGCATCCAGGGATCGGGCCTAAGTAGGGTGTTAGGGTGTTAGGATTTTGGGGCCGTAGGGTTAGGGCTTCACGAAGTAACACATTAGCACCACAGTTGCCACACCGGGGGAGTTCCAAAGCCTTTACATGTCCATAGCACGATCGTCGATACTCTAAGGACCGCCAGGAAACGATTCCAATTTCTCCAGCTCCACCATTTCTCAAAATTGGGTTTCCCCACATCTACCCCAACATTGCAGTCTTTGATCTGGGTACCCTTCGACAAGGACCACAATTTGTACAAACCTCACCCCCTTACATGCTTTCCAATGGCAAAGGTGTGGCATAGGGAGGGCATCGGGGTAGAGACAACAAGTAGTACGCGAGCAAGAGCGATGACCCTAAACTCTAAACAGTGGTGTCCAGTATCCTTTTAGAACTCTATATTATACCCCTCTGTTCCCTTATTCCCCACATACCCCCTGTTTGCTTTCGAGCAGGCCCGGGTGTTTCCCAAGGGTCGTGAAGGCTGGACAGCGGTGCATGAAGCCGCCAGCAATGTTGGTGACCAGAAGCTGCTGCCCGGCTCAACCAGACTTGCTGGAACTTAACCTACAGGTTCTTAATAGGGAATAAGGGAACGCAATGCCCATATAATCTCTGCAATCCCTGTACGTAGTATATATATATAATACATATATATATAATACATATATATATATATATGCTTATTCCCTTATTCCCTGCTAGGAACCAGCAAATTATGGGGACTGAATGTCCGCAGCTAAGTTTGGAGATGCTTGTCAAGCACAAGCTGGACTTGGCAGCCACAGATGGAGCAGGCGGAGCTGTTCGGAGCATTGGGTTTAGGGTTCAGGGTGTAGGGTTCAGGGTGTCTGGATTCCTGCTAAGGACCTTATGTTATATTTCGCCTTAAGTAGATAGAAGATGGCTTTGGGTATGCTATAAAAACAAGATCCCCATACGCCCCATATTCTATCTACTTAAGGGGGCTATAATGTAGCATGCGAAAATCAGCGTGGTTTCCTGGATTGTGGCAACAATCTGACAGCAACCAGCAACCCAGAATTGGAGCATTGTTTCCTAAACCCTCAGCCTTAAGCCCTGAACCTTGTGGTATTATCGTGCAAGAGACGTGGTCATCATCAAGAAGCTTTGTGGCACGTCAGGCAAGATCGTCGCCCACCACCATCCATCAGAATCGGTCCTGGCCCTTTGCATGCAGACCAGCCACGGTCCCCGTCTCATGTTTCACCTTGCTGGCTCTTCTCTGGGTTGCTTTCAAGGAGCGTAAAATCGATTACCATTAAAAAGAAAGTATATCATCTGCTATATTTCCACATCATGGTACTTTCATATTTTTGTTTTAACAGCAAACCAGTCTTCTGAGGCCTTTCTGCTGGAGCAAAGGGCAGACCTCTCGGCCGCAGACGCCGGTGGTGTTACAGTGGCCCATGAGGCAGCTAGGTAGGTAAAATCCAACGATATCCCAGGGTAAGATATTGCAGTCCATTACACATAATGAGGAATTTAGACCCTTAACCCAAAACGCGTGAGGGTCTATTTCATACCCCCTATTTGACGGAAATCTCCATGAGGCAGCAATGCGGGGCCGTGTGGCCTCCCTCCGCATCCTGGCTCAGGCTGTGCTCTTTCAAGTGTCATGCAGTTTAGGGTTAAGGGTTAGGCTTAGGGATTGAAAATGTGCTGCAACTTGCTGCGGGGCTTCTGATTCTCTCTGAGACTCTTGCTTTGCAGGCTGGAATCTCGCTGTCTGATCAATGCAGTGACCCGCCTGCGCCCGTGCCCAGTGTACCGCGTCATATTCAACTCGAACGTTTTGCTGAGGCAACGGTGCCACACCGGCTCACTTTGCAGCATACGACGGTGCCTCGGGCCTGTTAGCATCTGTCAGCTTCAGAAAGCCGCTGCTTTGACTAGCTTCATTTGCGTACATCTGCGCGCCTTGTGCCTTGCGACTTGCTCCATTCCGCCGGTGTGCTGCGGCAAGGTTTAGGTTCAGGGTTTAGGGTTTAGGGCTTGTCTTGTTTTAATCTACGGCTTGATGCCCTGACAGGGCCTGCGTTTGAGAATCACGGTGTTTGAGTCTTCCGTCAGGACACACCGGAGTTCTGCGAGAGCTGCTAGACAGCAGAGTAGAAGCTTGGCTATACTTGGCTCACCTGCAGTGTGGCGGCCTAGCAGGGTGCAGAAAATCTATCTTTATTACTCTCATCATTATTAATATCAGGATTATTGGATCCATAATCAGTTCAATTATCAAGACGGTCATTATTATTGTTACTATTGCCAGTATTATTACTATTACACAAAACAGAGAGCTGGAGGGCATGCATGTACTTAACCTCTAAACCACGAAACCCTAAACCCCCCAACCCTAAACCCTAAACCCTAAACCCCCAACCCTAAACTCTAAGTGGAGGACGTGCATGTCGTGGACCATGCTGGTGGCTCTCTGCTTCACCATGCCGCCTCGCAGGAGACCCTTCCCAGCACCACAATAGTAACAACATGTAACAATAGGGTTTAGGGGTTTAGAGTTTAGGGGCTTAGTTTTTTAAATAGAGTTTAGGGTTCAGGGTCTAGGGTGGTGGTGGTAGTAGAAGTAGCAGTAGCAGTAGCAGCAGTAGCAGCAGCAAAGGCAGTAGCAGTAGGAGTCGTCGTCGTCTTCGTCGTCGTCGTAGTCATAGCCGTTGTTAGTATTGTTCTTGTTATTATCATTACGGCCTCCAGAATTATAGTAGTGACACATAGTCTTCTGATTATTACCCCCTCACCCCCTCCAGAATAATGCGGAACTCAGTGGCCTGTGCATGTGCTCCGGGTCAGGGTCACGTGTCCGCACTCTCGATGCTTCTGGATGAGGGCATCCGCCCAGGACGGAAGACGCCTCGGGGCTTGTGGTTCAGTCTTTTGGGTTTGTTCAGTTGTTCAGGGCTTAAGGTCTAGTATTCAGGGGCTTGACCTGTGGAGTCAGGAAGAGATGAGTACGGCCGCACTCTGATGCACGAGGCGCAAAGGAAGCTCAACCTCCCCATCTGCGCAATAATGATAATGGGCCTGATGATGATATACGTCATGTTCGTCTGAGCTATAGTCTAAACTCCTAGTATCCCCTTGAATGAGCCCCGTAGTAATCCGCTATATATAATCCTGATTAGTCCTGTATATAGCCATGTTTAAGGAGTTAAGACTGGCAACCAAATGGGGCCAATACTTCTGAGAATAACCCCTAAACCCTAAACCCTAAGCCCCAACCCTAAACCGCAAACCCCAAACTCTAAACCCTAAACACCAAAAAGACTTCCCTTTGTGGAGGCTGCAGCCACTGGCTTCCCCCAGGCCATGGCACTCCTCCGCCAGCGCGGCCAAGACCCGAATGGTCAGGCTTGCGACGGGAGATAAAAGCGGAAGCTGTTTGGGGTTTAGGGTTTAGGGTTGGGTACTGCCCCCCCTCAGTAACAGTTGGATAACAATTATGATATGGTTATATATAGCCCTCAATAGGACCCCTAACATAGACTGTTACTGGGTGGGGGCAGTACCCAAGTTTAGGGTTTAGTTTAGG